CCAATGGAATGACCTTCCAATTCCATACTCGGTGCTGAAACTTCGCCTAGGCGGAGTAATTAGTCATGCGGGGAGCGCACAAGTAAACGCTTTTCCCAACTCCAGGGTCGGTGGATCAGATGGTCGAGCAATCATCACACCAACATCCAACACACGTAATGAAATTGCAGCAATTAATAACGCTAATGTCGGTGATCAAACAGTCATCACACCAAGTGCAACTATCCCTGATGAAGGGGGAGTCGTGAATATTCATAGGAATGCGGCAGCATGACGACTGCATCCTATAAATACTGCAGCCCATTGTGCATGAACCACCTGTATCTGCCTTTACCTCTGATGATGGGTCCGAGCAGGAATCCGAAACGTCCGGCCAATAAAGCTCTTGTCCCAGCGATCGTGTCTCCTTCTTCAAGACTGCTTTCTGGGCCTCGACTCTTCGCTTCTATCGTGGCGATCTTGAAAGAGTTTGTCATCTGAGTGTTGGGCGTCAGCCGTGAGTGTAAAATCGATGGAATCTGTTGTGAGGTCACTAAGTGGTCTTGTTTAATTTCCGAGGAAATTAATTCGCGAACCTGGAGAATATTACACGGCTGTTTCGCAGTAGCTGGTGAATTTCTGCTAAGATATTAATGTCCACTTTCGGGCCGTGCCTTACGGTTACGAGGAATCTACTCCAAGTTCGCGCATTAATTTCTTCGTAAACTAAACAAGACTAGGTGGAACTAAAGTTCATATACCAGAAGACACAGTGGAAGGTTGGCGGACCCATTGATGGGTCGAACCCCTCACCGTAGCGTCAGGCGAAACACGCGTGTCTGGGCCATTAGCTAGTACTTGAGTTGTCAGCATGGTAAATAATTACACAACTGTGCACTATTAAGTCGTGTTTGGTGGTTTGGTTTATGCAATTTGTAAACATCAAATCTGGCTTTTGTTGTAGGGACGGGTGTTCCCTTGCCTTGTACTAGTTTCCTTTAATTGGTGCAAAGAGATTTTTAATGGGATTGAATCGTTCAATTTTGAGCGGTAAGCGAGGACTTTACTGGGAATGTGGTATGTGGTTTTTGTCCTATGACACAACGTTTATTGTCGTCAACAGCAAACTGGCAGACGGACAGAAAGGGATCAAGTGAGATTTTAACCACAACAGTGGGGGTCAAACGCTTGCTTGAGATGTTTATATACCTCGCCTCATATGACCTACGATGTGTTGATGATCGGTAACGGCCGTGAAACAGCTGTCTGCGTCTGGTCTTTTTCACTCTTCAAGAGATAATTATGTATTATATATAATAATTGAGGGACGCTCACCGATTGTGTTACGGAACTCATTCGTCCCACACTGCGCCTTGGGGCTTTCTCTCGAGCCCAGTCAGCAGCCGCATAGCAGAGCGCAATATAGGCAGAATGTTATTCTGCATATATATGTGTGTGTAATTTGTAAACACCCTATCCAGGTTTTGTTGTTTGGAAAGTTACCTCCCTGTCGCTGTTTCGTTTGAGTAGTGTGAAGTGGTTTTTAATGGGACTGGAGTCAAGACGGTTGACTGGAATGAATGGGCTTTACTAGCCGCAGGCGCAAATGGTTGCTGTTGTCTAAAGCAATTAGAATCACTCAATTTTGAGCGGTGAAAAGGGACATTATTGGGGATGTTGGATATCATGCAGGCAGCATAGGAACTAGATAAATCCCAGACTTTTTTCGGCGATATTCTGCCGCTGCATGCCGCAGCTGAGAGAGCTTCGGCTCAACCGTGGGTCCCGCGAAATTGCAGTGCCTATTCGACGCCGATGTAAACCGTTGTAACTGAAGGCACTCTTTACAATGTCGACTAGCACCTTGGTGTTCTGTGTTTAGCTCACTTTGTAATGCCCGCAGAAGTCCCCTGAAGGTAGCGACTGTAAGAGACGAAAGCCCACCCAATAGGAGCGAAAAAGCGAGCCCATGAAAGCAGTTGCGCAGAAGAAGAAGAGGAAGAGAAAAAAAAAAGAACCAGAAGACGACGGGTAAGAAGATACATTCACAGGAACGAGAATTTCACTCGATGTTCACTCGAGTCCATCACCAGGGCCAGGAGGATTTAAGGATCATGGTTCTCTTGACCCCAGTTTATTGACAAACGCTTCGTTTTGCGAGTCAGAGGTAAGGGGATGCTGGTTATTCGTTCATGTGTGAGACACCTCGGCCGCGGCACAGCCACAGAGCCCGAAACGTAAATTCAGGGGGTCGGCTATCCTGCTGTGGCCGGTGGCTCGGGCCTTTAGCGGTCTGAGACTGCCTACTTCCAGCAATCCGCATAAACAATCTTTGAGGCTTACATTTTCTGACGCTGAAAAGCAGGGCTTGCAAGTATACATAAAACAGAGAAAAGAACTGCCAAACCCCAACGAACAAGGAACCCCCGAGCCAAACATGTACTTCATACCCCCAAGAGAATGCTGTGTGTCTGATGGGATATGTTGGGGGTTACATATTATGAATTTCTTCAAAGGAACCAAACCACTAAAGCAAAATTCTACAGTCAACAGCTTTGCCGCCCAGGCAAGATAATTAAACATAAACGCCTAAATCGCCGAGATGGTGTTATTTTGTAATATAATGCCGCCAGGCCTCACGTCGTAAAATGCTCCGAAAATCTCATTGGAGAGTTTGGCTGGGAAGTTTTTTCGCATTCGCTATATTCTTCGGGCCTTGATACATCTGACTACCATTTTTTCGGTCACTCGAAAGCAATTCAACCGGAGTGTACTTAAAAACGACGGAGATCTTCAAAATTGTATCGATGACATCGCTACACCAAAACCCACTGGCTTCGTCAAGCGCGGGATTGAGAAACTGCCTGGACGTCGGGAAGAGGTTAAGAATAACGAAGGGGTTGGATAATTAAGAATACGATGAAATTTTAAATAACCGAATAGCGCGCAAACGTATGGGACAACCTGTAATCAATCAATGGTCGATCGCTGACATTCTTCCACAGAGAATAGCTCAGGCACAATCCGAACGAATCCGTCGTTTAACTGACTAAAAACAGGCGATTTATGCCCTTGTTAAAAAATTGATTTCTAACAGAATTAGCATTCTTTCTGCAGCGGTCATTCCGTGCTACAATGCCGAATACATAGCCAGATTTATTTTACCTATTGTGCAAGTGTATTTAATTGGACAGTCTAAGAAATAGCCGTTGCACAAATGCTTTGACTCCGTTAGGTGAGGCTGGGCATCAGACAGTGAATACTGTGTTTCCTCCAGCATAATTTTTATCCAGCCGTCATCTTCCATTCATTGCCGGCAAGGATTACCAGCCTTTGTAAAGACGCTAAATACTTCATAATGCACACGACGTTGCAGAGTTACGAGTTCCATTGTATCAATTATAATTCCTTATTCACAGGATTCAGTTATACTCCTTATGCCATTATTGCCAAATTTAGGTTCTGGAAGCTAAACGCATCAAAAAGCATGAGCATGTCTCGTATCCTGATCGGTGAACGCTCCTCGTAGGACAGTAGATACAGCAGGTGGGCTAACTCATGAAATGTCAAACAAAATTTCGAAATTCGTCCCCGTTACGAAAAGATAAATTAAGTAAAGTTGTAAAACTAATCAGTTTGTATCAAAATTCTATAAAAATCCAGTTACCTCAGGGTGACAGCTTTCGAACAAACTTCTTTTCGACTGCAGGCAAGAATTATTTTCTGCAAAAAATGACTACGCATGTAGCACACAATTTTCTCGTTGATTTTCGATGGCCTTAAAAATTAAATTGTATTTCATGGAAAACATGCACAAAAATACTCATTCTTTTATCTGTTCGGTAGAAAATCACGTCTCTTCTAAATGTTTACCCAAAGGAAGGGTATGATTTGGTTTTCAAAAATGTTTCCAATTCCCGAATAATTTTGAACCCAACCTGCCGTTACTTTTGCATTCAGGGTTTCCAAACTACAAACCGTATATTTTCTGCGTATGGAAAACCATTCATTTCTCTACGGTATTAAAAGGAGACCATATGAGGTTCATAAAATTTAGCAGTGGATTTGAGCCATATTGTTAACTTTACAAACCACGTTGGTAAATGCTGAGACATGGCGTTTCATGAAGAGCCATTTCACGATATTAAAAAATCTCTCAATCAGAAACTTTTCTAAAACCGAATTAAATCCTTCCTTCGGGTATAAATTGAAAGAAGACGTAATTCTCTACTGAATGAGCAAAAGAATGAATATTTTTATGCATGTTCCAATGCAATATAATTGGATTTTTAAGGGCATCGAAAATCGATGAAAAAATGCATGTTAATTAAGTAGACGTTTGTAAGGAGTATGGTTTTTACACGCAGCCGGAAAAAAGTTTCTTCGAAGGCCGGCGTCTCCGGATAACTGGTTTTTTATATAATTATGCTGTATGATGATTAGTTTTAAAACCCAGTTTAATTTATTTCGGAACGAAAACCCACTTCTGAATTTCAGTTAACATTTCATGAGTTAGCCCGCCTACTGTGTCTACCGAGAAATCGTCAATAACTAAGGGCGCTGCATGAAATGTCAAATTTGGCAGGGCAACAGCCTCCTGGCCCAATGATAGGGCGTAAGACTTGAGAACATCACGGTCCGCCTAGCCAAGGGATACAGTATGCAGTTGCTATGCGCCTGCACGCTGGCCAGATTTATCCGCCCCCACGCTCAGGCGAGTTGCTAATGGCCCAGTTTCGTCATCCGTATGAACTCTTGAGACATTTGGTACCAGGAACAGTGGTTATCCGAGCGTTCTCCGCGCGGTAAACTTCTTTGCCTAGGTAAGGTTTCAGCAGCAGACATGTAGAAGGGAGGTCGTTGCGCTTGCTGACTGATTGACGACCGAAAACCATGACTTGAGGAGCTCGTGGTTTACGCGTTTGCGCATCTAGCAAGAATTTCGACTTTGCGATGCTTGAATGTGTAGTTGGATCCCGTCGAATGAGCCGCGGCTTGGGAGCTGTCGCCGTTACTCCTCAATGCTGCTGTGTGTTCAGCCACTCGCGTTCCAAGTACTCTTCCAGTTGGCGGAGAAAGTGGCAGTAATAACGAAGAAGGATGACGCCGACCTCCAAGCGACTACTCGCTCGACGGGACCCGACCACATCTTCGAGTTTGATGAGGCCGGCATTTTTGCTAGAGCTGCGCCAGTCTCGATCTGTCTGAGTCATGGTCCTTCGGCCCGCGGTCCACCGACAGGCGCAATGACCTTCCGATTCCATATTCAACGGTGAGGCTTTTCCTGGGGAGAGTAGTTGACCGAACGAATAGGGCGCAACGAACGTCATTATCAACAACAGTATCGGTGGGTCGAGTTGGCACTTATAATCAGCAATGACGACGAAGTCGCAACAATAATCGACTAGGGTGCAGGCCGGCAAACAGTCTTTGTACCACATACGAGACGAAGCGATGAACGGAAGAGCTGCTAATTATAGTAGATCTGTGATTGCATGATGACTGTTTCCGATTAGTACTGCATTCCTTGTGTGTCGTTGAGCCTTACCTATAGCTATCTCTGATGATGGGTTCCTGTAAAAATCCTAAACGCCAGGGGTCGCAGCTCCATCTCAATGGACATCCCCGAAAATGTGCCCCCGACCGACACGCCAAAGGCAAATTCGGATGCGGATTCATGCTGCGCCAGCCACCTGAGCTCGATACAACCTCCGGTTTTCTTAACTCTGTCATGACACCGGGCGCAGGTGTGGAGGACAGAGTGAGTTAGATGCTGTGCAAGTCCACTGTCACTGTCATCGCTCCTACCCCCACCCTGCTGTGGAGCATGCGGTTGGCATCGTCGGTCACGACGGCCGAACTGTTGAAATTAGGTTCGCATGAGCAGTTCGCAGACGGCCCGCTAAAGTGGTAGAGTACGCCGGGAAAACGACTTTTCAGAACGCAAACGGTAACTGCGTTACTCATGTAGATGTTGGTGGGATGCTCAGTAAGTCTGGGTGTTTCATATAAACCCGAGAGCTCTAGCCTACTTGATTTGACTCTGTCTCCAGCTCCAATAACTTTTAGCCAACAGAGTACTGTAACTCTCCGCATAGCACAAGGCAAAGTGTATGCTTAGATTCGGCACGCTGTGGGCATCATGATTTCGTAGGTGCTGCCCAATTCAAGAACCCACTTTTTGTGTGCTAACCTTCCCACATTCTGGGCTCGATAAATCAGTACTCAGTTCATTAAAAGTGGACGCGTCCCTGACAATCTATGCAACGGAATGCACTTAAGAGTTCTGGTTTTGGGACAAAGTTGGGGAGGTCGTATTTACTACTAAGATGCATGTTACATTGGGGAAACCAGTTATGGCGTGATAAACAGCGGTCTGTAGGACTTCGATGGGTATTCGTCTGTTATATGACAGTTTGACCGTGGTTATCGACGATGTCCACTGTGTGCTCCACAGCAAGCAGGGGACGGTGACTTCCGCGTGAGTTCGTCCAGAGTGATAATAGACTTACGCAGGATTTACCCCACTCTGGCAGGACAGAGACATAAGACGGGAGATGGCCGACAAAAACGAACAGGCGAGTTCTAGGAAGCAATTCTGAAGAAGGAGATGATGATGATGAGGATGATGATGATGATGATGATGATGATGATGATGATGATGATGATGATGATGATGATGATGATGATGATGATGATGATGATGATGATGGTGTTGCCTGTGGTGGTGGTGGTGGTGATGCCTGTGATGGTGTTGGTGGTGGCGGCGGCGGCGGCGGCGGCGGCGGCGGGATGGTGGTGGTGGTGCGATCACTGGAACAAGAAGTTCATTGGTACGCAGTCCATTAGCAAGCGTAATGACCTCCCTGTACCATATGCAGTGCTGGGACATTGCACGAGCAGGGGAATAGACCTCGTGGTGAGTGCGCGGACGCATAACTATTCCGGTGACAGCGGACCAAATGGCCGAGTAATCATCATGTCACCATCCAAAACGGCTGATGAAATTGCGGCAATTAACGACTCCGACGCGGGCTGACGAACCCATATCACCTTAAGTATGACCCCCCAGCGGTGATCCCGAGAGCCATTAATTATAGTACGCATGCTGGCCCAGGACATTTAAGTACTATAAATACTGCAGTCTTTGTACCACCAATAACCTTATCTGCAACCGTCTCTGATGATGGCTTCGAGTTAAAATCCGAAACGCCAGGCCAATGGACTTCTTGTTCCGATGATTGTATCTTCTTCTTCTTCTGAACGGGAGATGGTGCGGATGGCCAGCGCGGCGAAAACCCACACCTAGGCGCGCCAACACACCCAATGCACAGTGGCCAGGGTTTTACACATCGAGAGAAGAGGGGGACGGTTTGGATGCCACTAGATGGGAGTTTCTCAGACGTTATGTGCAACCCGTCTGACACCCAGAAGTCCATCTTATGGAGGATAGTCAGCAGGTTGGTCCTCATTTCTCAGAGTTACAGTGATCTAAATGTCTGAAGGTGTGTGCTATAACAGTATCAGCACAAGGAACGGTAGAACCTAAAACTAAACGGCACTTGGGAGTGCGTCCTCCGTTCCAGTGCTGATATTTTAAACACTGTGGCGAAACCTACAGAAAGCAGCCGAAAAATGGATGAGTTAGGACGGCAGTGCAAGCGAACCTTGAAATGCCTTTCAACACAACCGGGTTATTTTGGTCTAACTTGGGAGTTGAAATATATTGTAAAACAGATCGTATGCAGTAGTATGATTTTGTGTCGTCCATCTTCGCTGATGGGCTTGGGTGTGTATCCGAAACGTCAAGTGAGCCAACTTCCTGCGCCAGCTTCTGCATCTTCTTTTTACCATAACAACTTTCCAGACACAGCTGTCTGTTTCAGAGGTGACTGCGCCTTTCAGTGTGAACGAGCTCTATAACCTTTCGTACACAGGTTTTCGATCGCCTCGGGAATTTTCATTCTGAAAGCAATGTTTCTAAGATCAGGCTGGCACTCCCAACTCGAGGGCGCGAATCAATAACGTCTTTATTTCCGTGTCCGGTAAACCAGTCAGTGAAATACAGAACATAACAGCTTGTCTCGAAAGTGTGTCAATTCATGTAATATCACGTCAGTTTTCGATCATGGGCCAAGACAAATGCGTCCGTTCCAGTAAGTGTTAATTTAGAGTAGAAATAAGTAAATCCTGCCGAGCTGCTTGCAAAAGAGATTGGACAAAAGTCCCACAAACCCCTTTTAGGTACTCTTTGGAGCACCTAACTGCACACAGAGGCTCCACAAGAACGTTAGCAGACAAGGCTAAACGCATATATCACTAAAGTTTAGAGTCTTGCCATCTGTGCACGGGAGAATTTCAGACAAACTCTAAGTCAGCATTATCCGACATACGTCCGCAACGACTGCACAATCCATTGATCGCGATACGGCTTTTCTGGTCCTTTCAGTGAAGCCAACTCCAATGCCCGGTAATGTACTAGCCTGTCTTTCCTTGCCTATTTAAGCGACCTATAATGAACTCAAAAACTGACTACTGATACATTTTTTCAGTTAACTAGGGGTTACCCATAAGTTGTTATTTGTCAAACATTATTATGAATAATAATAATAACCGACATTTTTTCATATTTTCCAGGCAATACACATCAACTTACTTCAGTTAGACTGACGCTTCGAATTAACGAAGGTGTAGCACTGACGCCGAAAATCATGAAAATAAACGCCCATTTTTGCTTATTGCCAACGTTTGACAATATTTCCTTTTTCGTCCTCCAAACTGTCTATTCTTACTGTCGACGTTGAATTTACCTCGACAGGACACGGAAATAGGAATCCTCCAGTAATGCAGGAAGGGGACCAATGCTTTTGTCCTAGGCCTAACCATAACACTATCTATACCCCAACCGCAACCCAAGCCCTTACCTCCCTGGAATTTAGCGCAAAGCCACTTGTATTACGGGAGGTCCCCAGTCCTTCGTTTCACCTTTATTTCCTTGGCTATTCATGCTCTTCGGCAATGCTGGTTATTAACAACTCCAGCTTACTTTTAACTAAACTAAAAAATCGTGGTATATGGTCTGCACGAATATCAGAAGACTACCGAAGTCTAGGTATCGTTAACCTGTGATGGGTTACACTTTGGCACTGGTCACTCGCACGCACGTGTCGATAATTGCAGTTTTGTTACACCTTAGTGGTAGCACATTTCATAAGGAAGGGTGGTAAACGTACAGGTACGATGTTGTATGAATGGACATTGCGTGATGTCAAAATATCTCATAATTAGGAACTTTTTTAAACGTAATTTTATTTCTTCTTTGGGTACAAAATATAAAGGTGACGGGATTCTCTTTCAAGGGACTGAAAGAAAGCATATTTTTGTTTATTGTTTCCATAAGATATATTTGAGTTTGCAAGACAATCGAAAATAAATGTAGAAATGCATGCTAATTAAGCAGTCATTTTTACCAAGTACAGTTGCTACAGGCGATGGAAAACAGTGCATCCAGAGCTGACATCCTACCGAGTCCGACATATCATAGGATTATGTCGCAAGATACTCCGCGCCTAAGTAATCCTTACTAACCGAAAACGCATTTCAGAACTTCGGTCACCATTTCATGAGATCGGTCACTCACTGTACTTTTGAGAATTTTACTGGTCAGACGCAGTTATGTTTTGCCAATGGACTCTTTGTAATTTCTGGTTGAGCGAAAGAAACTGGGCTCCAGCATTATAGTATGGCACGAACTGTTAACTCTTATGCCCTATAGTAAAGTCTGTGGTTAACTATTCGAAGCACTGTAGACTTACACGAATGCGTCAATCAACCACCTACTAGTGGGCAATGTCCAGCGTCGAAACTAGGTTTCATTACTAGACACCTCGCCAAAAAGGGGTGCACTAATACGTTAACTTCAGGTTACCGAGGTAAGTACCTTTTGCCGATACAGAACTTCAAACGACTTCCATGCAGAATACCTTCAGTCTACAAAAATACCCTCGTGATTTTGGTCAAAGCGGCGTCCCGGAAGGCTACTCGCCTCCCTTTAGTTGTTTAGACCCCGAAAAACACCGGTGATTGGGTTGTTTATCACATTGTGGCCAGGAGACCGCTTCTAATTGGCCCACGTAACGAACAGTGCTAGGAGAATTATCCTCCGGCACCCCGAGGTCCGATGCTGCTGACAGGACTGACTAAAACGCCTCCATCGACGTAGTCTCTTGCACCTCAACTCCGCAATTCCACCGCCCCCCCCCCCCACGAGAGCTTGATTTTCTGCCGTCCGAGCTAACTGCCAGATAGGGAGGGCGGGCGTGAGGTTCGGCGATGAGTGTTTAAGCGGACAAACACCTCAACGGCGGCGGGACTGTGGGTCCAGGCCATCCGGATTGCGGACACAACTGCGCAGGAGATAGGAGAGGAGTTGAAACTGGAAACCACCGTGCGGAAGGCACGCAAGCGAGCTTGTTTGTGTGTGTGTGTGTGAGATGGCGGTGGGGTGGAGCATGAGAAAAAACCCACTGATCTCAGAGCACCTGCGGGCGCGCGCGAACACATCCCTCGCGTGCGTGCGTCCGTGCCTACGTGTGTTTGCAAGTCCGGCAAACACATAGTTGGTGTGAGCTGCGCGCTGTCATGAGAACTGCGTGATAATGACCGACGGGAACTGGCCGGGCTAGTGGTCAGGCGGTGACAGTTCGCAGCGCAGAACAGTTGGAATTCGGGATAGAGAGAGAGATAGAGAGGCAGAAGAGATGAGGGCTGTGGAGAGCACATCTAAGGCGCCGCCTGTGAAAATCCTAATAGAACCCCTGCATTCCTAACGCCGCCGCCGCACACTTAGACAAACACACAAGACCTCCGAAAGGAGGAAGGACTGAGATTGACACACGTCGGCTCGACCGTCGCAGGCAACGACATCTAGCATGTGCACCACAAATCGGGCGCAAGGGAGAGGGGTGACTTGTGCGTAGACCAGTTTAGGGGGAGAGACAGACTTGTGCAGCACCTATCGCACCCCCTCGCCCATCGCGTTCCAATGACGTAGCAAAGTGAAGGTCACCGGAGATGCGTCTGGACGCAATGATCTCTTTACGCATGCCACACACGATCTGACCCGCACTTCACACTCACTAGACTTCATTCGGAATGACTCTCAGATATCACAAGTGGTTTGGCTTTAGGGCTGGGGTTCGACTTTAAAGTTAGGGTTATGGTTTTCTGGGTTAGTTACAACATTTGGCTTCCGTTTTTGGGTTGAGGTTAGGATTAGTTTCCCGGTTAGGGCTATGTGTAAGGGCTACGGTTAGGTTCAAGTTTTCGGCAAGGGTTATGGTCATGGTTAAGGTTAAGGTTGGGTTTAAGGTTAGGGCTAGGTTGAGGGATATGGATAGGGTTTGGGTTAGCGTTGGGTCTTAGGATTTCGGTTACGTTCCGGTTTTGTGGTTTAGGGTTATCCTTTACGGTTACGGTCAGGGTTGAACTTTAGGGTTAAGGTTAGGGTAAGGTTTTAGGGTTAAGGTTAGGATTACGTGTCCGTATTTCAGTCAGGGTTTGCGGTTAATATTAGGGCTTTAGAGTTCGGTTTTAGCTTTAAGTTTGCAGTTAGGTTTTAGGTTTAAGGTTAGTGATGGGGATAGGCTTTAGACAGGGACCTCGCCGTCAGCTTCCTCATTCCCTGCCACCAACTGCGATCTAACCGGACATTTTCACCAGACAGCTGGGGTTAGGAATGTCCATATGGGGAATAAAAAGCATTTATTAAGCGAGTCTCCGGGCATTATGTACAGAAAATCCGCTGCGCGGCTGACTCACTAGCATTTTCAACTGAAGTAAAATCCCGC